TCTTGAAGTAATTCATTCGGCCCCCTCCAAGCCTCGACAAGCACCGCAAACGGTGCCCTACACACAAAGCAAGCATGAGACGATGCAGCGCGTGATGTCCTGCAGCTGAAAGCTTGCAGATTGTGAATGCCAGCTTTTGGGGGTCCTCTGTTTGAGCAGTTTCCACGAAACAAACCAAGCGCCTTCAATCACTTTCAGGCAGGAGAAGATTGCTCAGGACTGTTCCCAGCAAATCCGGGAGCAGTTTTCCCTGTTTCCGGGAACCAAGTGCCCTACGCAAGAGTTCGTAGTCCTCTGAACAGTTGTTAAGACATCTAAAAACTGGGTTGGAGATGAGAGGGGAATCAAGATTAGCTAGGAACAGTCCTGAACAATATGGTGCTTGGCTCTTGCAGGGCGTAGGCGTATGCCTTCGTCCATGCTTTTGAGGTTTTGGGGCACCATTGAGGTCAGCAGTGAGTCTTCATGTTTGAGGCTTGGAGGGTAGTCTGAAAAGGGAAGCATGTGTATATATATATATATATTAATATATATGTAATGCATGTGTAGATATGCGTAATTATGGGTGTATATATATATAATCATACCATATATGGGGGTTGTTCAAAATAAAAGTTCCTGGAAACGGCCCTTCTCCCGGCCTTTCGCGGCCCCGTGTTTTCCTTTCGCGGTGACAAACCAGTCCTGAAAAATTTGTTTCCGAGCCCAAACGAGGGTTCTACCATGTATTCGTTATGTTTCAAGTCCTTTCGCGTTGGCCTTTCGCGATGCAGTGTTTTCCTTTCGCTCTAGACCTTCAGAACCTCCCTTACTTAATTTTAAGACTGGCAATTTAGAACGACTCCCATATGTATGTGTATATATATAATGTTGTGTATTGTGTATGCATTGTACATACATAAATGTGCGCATGTAAGTAATTTGCTGTGACGTGTCGGAACAAAGGCTGGTACGCTTGCAATCAAAGACCCGCCTCGGCACCGTTGGTGAACTTCCCAGTGCAGAAGTGGGTGTGGAGGGGCGAGGGGCACACGTAAACATCACACCTGGGCGGGGGGTTGGCCGCAAACACTGGGATTTGAAACTCCAAAAGGCTGGGCTTTCCTTTGGTTCCCTTTTAAACCAAGGAAAAAAGGATCTCCTACGAAGCAAAAACACGCACTCAAATGCGAGGGGCGTAGGAATGAAATGGCTCTTTTTTGGGACCCCGAACAAAAGGCGGCTGCACATCAGTTTCCAGCGTGACGTGGCGCTCAGGTTGGAGCCGGAATCTGTGCCGTGCGCAGAGTCCCTTCAGTTGAAACCACTGGGAAAATCTGTGTTTGTTGGAAACGGCCAC